CACGAAATAACTGACGGAAATAGAGACAAAATAAGTCACATGCGAAGCAATGCGAAAGCGCCATCTGTATTTGGAATGAGCAGACTCACTCTGTTCCATCAGCAAATCTCTTCCATTGCTGCTCAACCTGGCAACGATTTTTGGATTCCTCATAAAGACATTCAATTCATCGATGAGATTCGTGCAGTATTCGGACAAAAAATTTGCAACTGTCTGATTATGCTCTGCCAATAGGAAATGCGTTAAAACAGAGATGCACGGAGTCTGAAAAGTTACCGACCAGATCAAGAATTCTTTCTAGCGCATATTTTGATGGCTAAAATATGTGGATGAGAGATAAAGCAGAAGAGCAAATGCTAGCCATATTACAGACAAAAATGACGCAAGAAGTGCTCGAACTGCCTCTTTGTGGTCAAACAAATCAGACAAACTAAACGACGTACGAACAATCTGACCCTCTATGAAATAAGTCGTTTTGTAAGATATAGCTGCGATAATGAGAAAGCAAAGTCCGACAAGCAGCTGTTTGTTTTGCCAGATTTAAGCCTAGATTCAAGCTATTTGCTCCAACTGTAAAAAAAATAATTGTGATACGTTTTTTGCATAGTTCCCAGCAAGTTTTTGCCGCCAACGGCACCGTTTTTTCCAGAAGATATTTCCAGCTAAACGAATTAAGACTGGCCGCCAGGACTGTCAGGAAACATCCTCTTGAATTTCAGTTTTCAAGCTTTCCTAGCTCCCGAGTTGGCAAGCGGGCCCATACATGCGAACCACGCATACCTGGGGGGTGGGTTTGAGCTAATCAACACCTGCATGGACGGGGACATTCCTCAAAATTAAAGTCTTTTAGCTTTTTAGGCCCCCCCCCCCAAGTTAGCAACATACCTACAAAGAACTTCCAAGTGGGGCCCACGTAAGTAGGAGCTCTCATTTTGGAGAAGGGGGCCCGTACATGCATGTAGATTAAGTTCCCAAAGTTTCAGCCGTGTAGCCTTTGTAGGTCTCAAGATGGAAAATCGGTACAGATGAACAAATATACACAAACACATAGACACACATATAGACACACATATAGACACACAGATAGACACGCATATAGACACACACACACAGACACAAATATAGACACACACATACATACCCAGACAACTCCTCGACAATACACGTTTTTTCACTGCGTAGATGCAAAAAACGCATAAATAATAAACCTCCAAAAGTTTTGTGGCTTTCAGGCTCTCGAGTTAAAAAATTAACCCAAATTTAGACATAAGTTCACAGCTTGTGGCGGATTAATTTCAGGACTATAGTCTTATACAAAATTGGGGACCATGTTCTCGAAGTTTTGTCCTCTCCAACTTTCTTTATTTTGGAGCTATGCGTGATCCTAAAGTTGGAATTTTTTTTTCCAGCCCCATAAATCACACAGATGCAGCGCATTTTTAAAGTAATATGAATATATAAGCGTAAAAAAAGCATCTTAAGGCATCACAGAACACGTCGATTATGAGGAATTGTTGTAAAATCATCAAAAATTCGATTAAAAAAAAGTTAGACAAATAGGAGGTACCTGCTGAGCTATAGCAACGTATAAAATCTGTTGAATTAAATGATGTCCTGTAAACCCAGGACGACTGAGCATTTGTTGCATACATTCATCACTTAATTTACATGAGAAATTTCCTTCTTTACCAATCAAAACCAGTTCAGCAAAACAACTGAAAAAAAAATGCTATGTTACAAACTGTCGGCACAAAAAACTTATAAGGAATAAGCTATTTTTTCATGAAAATACTCTTTCTTGTTATCGATGTGGTTTCCCAAAAAAATTCCATGGTTCTTCTCTCCAAACCTACAACCCGTTGATCAACTTGCTAATGCTCTTGGCCTTTCTTTTCAGTTATTATCATTTTTTGTTCCTCCGATGTAAAACAACAGATGTGTCAAATTTCTTCGCAAATTTGTGAATCTACATATTCTGTAAGGTAAAAAAGTTGAAAAAAATGGTGTACACGAAATGTGATAAAAATGATGGTGACCTGTTGATTTCTTTCTCGGTGAGAAGAGCAGCTGGCATGGTATCATCGAATATGTTCGCTTTCAGCTGCTTTTCTTTCCATCGAAATCGTTCATCTGTACGTCGATGTGAAAAATTCACCACAAACGGTCGTTGAAGAAGATAACGAAACTGCAGCGTAAAGTAGTTAAACAGTAATATTTTTAGATATTTTAGATATTTTTTAGATATTTTTTTCCTTTTTTGCTTTGAGATTATAAAAAACAATTCTCCTTCCAACATTTTCCATGGGGAGAATGAGGCGTTTGGAAATAATCCAGAAATAACATAATAAGCACCAGATATAACCAGACGGTGACAAGGACACTGATTGTTCCCATTTTATAAAGTTATTTAAAAGCAAGCCGATGGTGGTTTTGCATGTGTTTTTACCACATCGACATTGAAAAAAATAAAGAATTCGCAGAATCACTGGTTGTTTGTACACTATAGCAAAAAATGAAGTCTCAAATTCCAGTCTTTTCGCTATTATCGATTAGAAAGATGAGATCAGCAGGGTAACATTACCTGAGTAAAATATTCACTATCACGAACAGCTAAAAATGATAAGGCCTTGCTAGCCAGTGCATCTGCAAATCTGCTTATATCGCGTATTTCGTCAACAATTTCCGAATGAACATCCTCATCGTGTAAGAGCTGCTCGATACCAATTAGGTGACCTGAAAATACAAAATTATCCGACATACCTTACTGTGATGTGGGAATTGCACGCGGCTAGCAGTTTCTAGACACGACGCGGTAAAAATTTTGAAGTTTCAGGCATGTCAACTCGTTGGACTGCATTTTGCCGACCTAAACTTTGTAACTAAGGACCAATGTAATAGAATGGAATAAAAAAAATAAAGTGTATTAACAACGGATGAAAGAAGACGGAGAGTAAAAAAGGTAGGAGATGGGAATTAGTCTGACCAGCTGGCGGTAACGCAGTAATAGTTAAGCAGCTATATGCGCAAAAATGGCATCAGTGATATAATCACCGCCTAGGGAGTGCAACGAAAAATGACAAAGCAAGTTTAGAATGGCTTAACTAACGCAGCATGATGCAAAAAGTTGATCTGACGGATGTGGAAGAACACAAAGCTCAACCCGAACCAGTATCTGACAAAATCCAAAACTACAAGCTAATATGCGCAAAAAAAAAAAATTTATTAAATTTGTGAAGATCGGAGAAACGGCAAATAGCGCTGTTCCTCTAAAATGGCAATTATGAAAACTTAGCGAGACTCGGTCGGATTGGTAAGGGTGCGGCGGGAAG